CTAGTAAGGCACTTGTTACTAGAAGCGATGCACTTGTTACTAATAGCGACGGATGAGAGACATCGTGTCACTGAGTGTCGATCTTTGGTGCTGGCCCTGATGAATTGTTTGTGGCAGCAGCCTTGGTCCGGTCACGCTACATGCTGCTTGCAGGTCTCATCAGGTCTCTCCTCAACTACTTTGGCAAAAGGTTGCTTTGTACTATCACTCCTATGTAATCAGGCTTTAAGATTCCAAACCACGTCACAAGCTCAGCAACCAGGTCATGTAATAAACAAACAAGTGCTCAGCAACCTCGGGGAAAGATCCCCAGCCTGTTCCTGCCAACAGATCATGAGCAAGCTTCAGAGATGCAAACGAACCAACAGGCCAGGGAGAAGAAGACATCATCGTCTTAAGTTACAAATAGCAATGGCCTCCAACCTATTAATATCGATGTGCAAACGTCTGTTTCAGCATGTTCTATTTTGCACTGTTCGAAGCGTGACTGCTAGAGAAACTTGGGGGGAGTGCGCATTCTCTCGCAAGTTAGCTCGAAGTACATCCCAGAAAATCATGAGAACATGGAACTATCAATGAAACCTTGTGATCGAAACACTACACAAAACACATCGAAAAGCGGACAGTCGTCGTTCTTCTGGCCTGCATGCACATAGAACACGCTTTCGGGATCCTTGAAAACAGCAAAGAATGCTTTCAGTGGCTGCAAATCTGCTCGAAGCCATGAAAGCATGTCCTGTTGGCAATTTGGCTCATCTAAGATTGTCATTGGCGTCAAGGCTTCTACGTTGAGTGCAAGTGGAAAATCGGATTAGCAAACAAGCACAGGAAGTACAGCCGTTTTGAAAAAAGACCATCCGAGAGTCATGTTGTTCATGACAGATCTGAGTTGACATGGTTCACATGGATTGACGCGCAGAACCAAAATGGCCTACGACGCACAGGTGAACAAGGCACTTCTTTCACCCAGCATTGCTTCGGACTCATATCTTCAGCTAGGACCTTTTTCGCTCGTTTGAATCGTTTTGGGGGCCTAAAATCTGCAATGAAGCTAATGTAAAGTGTAGGGCGGGTATGGTCTGCTTGACAGTTGGCGATACGGCAAATGTACTAAATGTCACCGAATGCCTTGCATCTTAGGTTCCGCCATTGCTCTTAGGTTGGAGGCCATCACTCCTAGGTTGGAGGCCATCGCTAATTAGTAGGTTGGGGGCCATTGTTCTTAGGTTCCTTTTGCTATGAGGTTGGCTTGTCTTTGGAAGTTCCACTGGCAGTTCCAGCAACATCTCACAAAAAGAGCTGTGCTTCATCAAGAAAGACATGTGGGCAAAAAGAGCTTAAGAGCGAAGGTCAAGAGCTTTTCTCACATCTTGGCGGTCTCCCAGTCTGAGGTTCTCTGACCCAGCGAAAGAAACTCAGACTCATCCAGACTCTCACTTGATCCACAGGCGCT